TTGATATATACATGCATATATACATATGTACACATAACATTTTCAATATTTTTTGTTGTTGATTGTAGTCACTATATGAATAAATTTGTTTTATTCGTGATACTCCATATTTAAGATAATTTTTTATAAAATTATAACAAGACAACAAAATCGACAACGATTTAGAAAATTTATCGAAATGTAACTTCATCGATATATAGCAACGTAAAAACGTTGATATTTAAAGAGAAATGGTGATCAATACAAATTGATTATTATTCCACGTGAGCAAAGGTTAATAGTCTCAAATCAAAAACAGGTTACCATGTTATATTTTCAGAAAAAACAAATAATTAAACAAATATCCTACAAAATTAATCATGCTTTTGGAAAAAAATTAAAAAAATTGACATATCTTTGAATATAATTTTTTAATAGATAATTTCTGTTATATCTTTTATATGTACATACATAGTTTAGGTTAGTATATAATTTTCAAAATTTAGAAATAATTTATAAATCAGAAGCATACAAGTGAATTACATAATTTGTATTTGACTATATGGTGAGATTATTGAGAAAAAAAGATAATTTTAATTACATCACATTAAATTACATTGAAGTATGTAGTTTAATAGTTATAAAGGTTATATTTACATGATTATGTTAAATTTAACACATTTTTTTATTGATTATTATTTCATTTCAGATTCATCACATTTAAATAAAAATTTATCCATTTGAGTGATTTTCAATTCATAATGTTTATAACAAAAAAATTGCTAAGAGGTGCTGCTCTTGGAATAATTGGATTGGGTACACTAGCATCTTTAAGAGCAAATGAATATGATTTGGGATCTATAGGTATTGTACGATTAGGACGTGCTGCAGTTACTGTTTTTATAATTGGGAGACATTATAAAAACAAATTGTATGATAGTAATTTAACTCCAAACACTCAAGAATATCTTGACTTAAAATCAGAAGTACATAAATATGGAGCACAAAAACTTTTAGAACTTTGCTGTGCCAACAAAGGCGTTTATATAAAAGTAGGTCAACATATTGGTGCACTAGATTATTTATTGCCATCAGAATATGTTAATACATTGAAGGTGTTACATAGTTCAGCACCACAGTCATCTTTTAAAGATGTGCTTACTGTTATTAAAGAAGATTTCAAGAAAGATCCATACGAAATATTTGAAAGTATTGATCCTGAACCTTTAGGCACTGCTAGTTTAGCACAAGTTCATAAAGCTATATTAAAAAACGGTGATGTTGTGGCTGTTAAAATTCAACATCGATCAGTCAAAACAAACTCTTATGTAGATATAAAAACTATGTCAACCTTGGTAAAATTAACATCATTAGTTTTTCCTGATTTTAAATTTGATTGGCTTGTTGATGAAACTAAGAAGAATATTCCTCGAGAGTTGGATTTTACTCAAGAGGGAAAAAATGCAGAAAAAGTTCAAAATATATTTTCACATTATCATTGGTTAAAAATACCAAAAATACATTGGGACATTTCATCATCCCGAGTTCTAACAATGGAATTTCTGGAAGGAGGTCAAGTTAATGATTTAAAATACATTCAAGACAGTAACTTGAATCCATATGAAGTTAGCAGTAAATTAGGCCGGCTTTATAGTCATATGATATTTATTGTGGGTTTTGTACATTCAGATCCACATCCTGGTAACGTTTTAGTTAGAAAAAAAAATAATGAAGCAGAAATTGTACTTTTAGACCATGGATTATATGCAAATCTTTCAAATGAATTTCGATGGGAGTATTCTAAACTTTGGTTGGCAATACTTGATGGCAATAAAACTGCGATGCAAACACATTGTGCTAATTTAGGTGTTAGAGATATGTATGGATTATTAGCTTGTATGGTATCAGGACGATCTTGGAATACAATTATAACTGGTGTCCAGAAAACTAAATATGATATGCAAGAAAAAGAGGAATTTCAGAAAGAAATACCAAATTTATTGCCACAGATCAGCACTGTATTAGATAAAGTGAATAGGCAAATGTTATTAATTCTTAAAACAAATGATCTTATGCGTTGTATAGAATATTCTCTGAATACAGAATCAAGAATGTCAGCAATGTTGGAAATGTCAAAATGTTGTATACATTCTGTATATGGAGAGAAACTGAAAACCTGCACAAATATATGGGAAAAGTGGAAAATTTCTGTATCTAAACAATGGGTACTCTTTAAATTATCATTATATTATGTATACTTAGGAGCATTAAATTTCAATATACAAAATTCTGTCAACTCATTTATAAAAAACGAGTTTTATACATTTTAGTAATGATCTTTTTCTGGAAAATTTATTTAAATTAAATATGAAACTGATTGTAAATAACATTTCTTTAAATATTATTAATTACAATTTTATTAATTCACACAAATAGTTTAAAAAGGTATTAAGTATTTCTATATAATATCTTTAATTTATTTTTCTATTTCAAATAAAAAAACAATAAAAAGTAATTTGTGATAAATAACAATATTTACATTAAACACATATGTATATTTTTATAATCATAAATTTATCGTGCCATAACATGATCATCCAATAGTCAAGGTTATCCCAATTAACAAATTATATTGCAAATGTTTGTTATAAATATGTATGTACATATATATCATATATGTATTCAATAATTTTTATTTTATTATTATAATTTATCATATTTACCTACATTTTGCATAAAATGCAACTTTGTACATTTTATTTTTCTTTTATTAGTGAAGTAGGAAATAAAATTATATTTGATCAATTAGTGTACTTAATATAGCAATATGACAATAAATATATTTGACCATAAATCATTTTTATTGCATTGATAAGTTTCGAACTTTTGTTACATCAAATAAAATCTTGTTAGTATATCAAATTTATATATCTAAAAATTTTAAGAAATTATTTATTTAAAATGTATTCTTAATTTAATTACATCAGAACGATGACTTTCTATTAAAGAGTTAGAAATATATTATTTAATATAAAAAAATTATCATATAAAGTAAAATATGTATTTAGTAGAAAGATATACGTAAATTTAATTTATATTTATATATGATAAAAAATTAATACCATTTATTCGCTATTTGTTGCGGATTAATTTAAAATTTATTTATTCTTAACAATTTATTATAATTTTATTGTGAACTTTTAATGATCACGATATAAAAATAAATTTAATGTGTAATCGTAATTGAGTACATAAACTTTTTCTGAGAAAATTAAATATTTCATGCGTCAAAGATGCGTCATGATTCATCAATGTTTCATCACATTGTGAAAAAATAAAGAATACATATTTTTATATTTATTAAATAAGTTGCATCAATTAAAAATGGGAGAAAATAATTACGTGTGTAAACGCGGTAAAAGAATTGGAAAATGAAATTAATACTAATCTCGTACTACAACGTACTTACTTTTATTTTAATAATTTCTTTGAATAAAACATATAAACAATTATTTTTCTTAATCAAATTTTGAAGGCTTCTAAACTTAATAAAAGAAATTTTTATTTTTGTATCGTAAAACGCAGAATCGAAATAATCGAGTATCTTTTATACTTGGGTGTAACAGTTATCCTTAACAGTGTTGCCATATATTGTGATTTCTAAAGAATTAAGTATTTTTATATCAGTTTAACTATTTTTATTTATTTCATAATATTAAAAAAAAAAATGAAATGTCAGATCTCGTTTAAAAATTTTGTTTGTATACTTGAATGTAATTTAATAAATTAATATTTTTGCAAAATTTATAATCAATTAATTACTATTTTATACTGATTTATTAAGTTACTGACATGTTCTTTTGTTTCATAAAATTTATAGCTTAAACATGCATTCTTTCATTTGTATTTTATCATATGTGTACGTAAGTTAAAAACATTGTGAAAACATTTTCTTTCGTTATCATTGTATGAATAACTTTTAATACGTAAATTCTGAAATCATAAGCAACGTTTTTTTAATGGTATATTAATATATATAATGTGTATAATATATAAATTAGAAAATTTTGGAATACATGTGACAGATTAAAAACTGTACATTGATCAAAACAATGTAAAGAAATTTAGCAACATTGGGGAATACTGCAACGGAAAAGCGTATGACGTTTGCAGCACGTGATTGGTTAGAAATTAATCGCAGAGCACATTATACGCCACGAATTATTTCCAATAAGTGAAAAATTTTAGTTTCATATACAAAATATACGTAAAATTTCACATCAAAACTATTTCATATATATTTAAAAATAAAATAGATAAAAATATTTTTCAAAAATTTTTTAAATATAAAAATAATGTCAAATTTTATGAGGAACTATTTTCTGCTGGTTGCGCGTAAGAATACTACATAATGGTAAGCTCAGGGATATATAAAGCCGCCATTGTAAGCGTAGCGTCACCATTTCCTGAGTCACTTTCAAGCGGAGAGAGGTGTATCTTGCTCGGTGATTTTACATATCTGTGTAGTTGACTTTCTTCCATTGTTCTACAAGAAACACGAGCCAGAGACAGGTTGGTGTACTTCTTACTTATTCAATAATTAGATGAAAAAGTTAAAAAAGCTGTAAGCAAACGTGAAAGTCGGATCAGCCGATATTTGTGTTAACCCATTTCTCAAGAAAAATAGACAGCTTTGATTGATAACGGCGTCAACGTTGGAAAGAAGAACATTTCAATCTTTACGTGGGGAAACTACGAAATGATGGTGGCCTCTGCAAGACCTCGAGAAATTGAAATCGACAAGCCAAGTCATACCGAACAATTGGCAAATTGGATTAGTAGAGTTCGCTGTAAAAAATTACTGTGCCGTCGAAATCGCAAACGCGATTTACGAATTGAAGCAGTGCTGACATGTGCTCTTTCCAAAGCAGAGCACGAATTACGCAGCAAGCAGTTATCTAGAATATCAAAGTGGCAGCAATTTAAAAAGCAGTTTTTGAAGACTGTGAATTCTACAGATTATCAAAACTGTGAATTCTACAATAACGAAGATATGAGAAATTCGAATTCGTATCAAGAAAACAATCCCTGGCAAGGACCATTGTGCCCTGAATTGAGTAGTTTGGACAATTTCATGTCTAAATTAGCGGAAATTAAAGTACCATTGCAGCGGTGAAGAGGTGGAAAAAAGCGACCAGGTTTGGAAAACCTAGGAGCACCTAGATCCCGAAGATATTTATCAATGTTTTGTCAAACAAAACGTTGACTCAGAATAACGGATAAATGGAATGTCGAATGAGTGCAGTATCGTGTACCACATCGATGCTGCGGGAATAGAAGTCGCATTACTATCCTGGTGTATATCTGGATATTTTTTACTTGCAGTCTCTCCGTTTGAGATGGCATTGGGACGGGCGGAGGGAGTTGCAGCGATGCTGGGCGTACCGCAGAATTGAGGATCCAATGTTCTCTCTAGTCTCTACACCTTTTATTGGTTTGGTTTGTAAACTGTATCGGAACCAATGAATTTCTCTTTGTAATTATTCTGTAATATACCGATATTTGAATTCAGTCAAATGCTCGAAGACATTTTAGTTCAATGTTTTTTTTTTATAAATATGGCGCTTTATATGAAACATGTACTAATGTTTTATAGTTTAAACAAAAATTTGTGTACTACACATTTTAATCTATAAATAATTTTCAGATATCAAGGAAATATCTTTATGTGTTAGATTTTGTATATTATTTGTTAATTAACAGTTTTGTAAATATTGTGATATAGCAGAACAGCAATCAAAGAAATAAAATATAATAAAAATTGGAAAATGTTTATAATTTTTCTATGATCTTTAATTCGGCATATTAATACCAAAAATCCTTTTCAGTCTGGCATACTACACATAAAATTCTGTCGCACGCAAGAGAGCTGCACGCGTGTCCAGGCTGTTGGTCGTCATCGGCGACATTTGGCCTGTCTATATATGAGATAAGGAATGACGAGAGGATTGATATGGGATAAGCAAAGGGGCAGTCTTTTTTTTAGAAATTTGCGCATGAAGTTTTCTGGCTGAGTCGCACCATGATCAAGTTGCACATAAATGTCTCGTGTCTTCGCGCTTCCATGCCTTGAACATCAAAACGTCAACTAATTCCAAAATCGTCTGACGCGTGATACACATAGGCTTATCGTGACAAACCACAGCAAATTCTAGCAAGTCTTATTTGGTGAGCTCTAATCTTTTTTGTTCGTTACCTGTGCAAATATATTTTCTCAGGTCCAGAAAAACTTTTCCAACGTTTGTACCACCAAGTTGTATGCGAGTTGCTCTGGCTTATAAATATGCCTTGTTCAAAGTTGAGTAAGTTAAGCACCATTACAGAGCTGCACATTACCCCTTTTGATTTGAGATAGGAGCTTCTGAGATATGAAGAGTATTGAATGTATCTTTGTTGAATCTAGATGAACCAGAAAGGCGAATTACTGCAAGTAGCACAATTAATTAAAATAATAGGCATGCATATATGTGAGAAGTTGAAAGTTTGATAGAAAATTTATAAATTTTTTGTCAGCATTACAATAAGTATGTCTGGAGTCATGTTACTAGATACTTGTTTTCACAGATTTTGATATTCTCCTTGCACCTTCGAGTATTAGAGAAACTGAAGAATTTGATGTATTATTAGATTGAATAAAACTGTGGTTCCTGACAAATAATATACAGGAAGGTCATGGAAATAAAAAAAACATTGGTTTATATTACAGTTCAACTGATCTGAGGAATTACAATGATATACAAATTGGGAATGGAAAAAAGTTATTAATGATAGTAGGAAAGCAGTGATACATGGAAAACAAACAACATATTATTATATTAAATTCCTAAGTATAGCATGTAGATAATATTTTTAATGCTTTTAAAACAAAATTACGCGTAATCTTTTTTCAATTCCAAGGAAATATACATCGTCAATGAATCACTTGTCAGAACACTAATGGAAATATAGTTCGTCTTTAATTAAGCAAAGTAATAATTAAACAAGCTGAAGGTTTGGCATAAAGTTCGTTCAGAGAAATTTACTTTCATCTATACCTGACGTTAAAATACAATATCAAGTATTATGCTTTTATAACCACTGTTTTTAATGTGTGTTGATATGTCGTTGGGTGTCTTTTTGTACTGCAGAAATGCCCAAAAGATTGTATCTGTGATGAAGTATTTGGTGTATACAGACAGTTGATTCTATTCCTGGAACATTGGATTTGCGTTAACATGGTATGTTGAATAGAATGATTCAGATGTGGGTTGTTGGAGGGTGAGTAATTATGTTTCAGCTAGGTTTGGATAGAGAAAGCGTTTAATCAATGGTTAAAGGTGCGCTTGAAACAGTTATAAATGTTGCATACTTTCAATTAAATATTTTTGATGGGAAGCGGTCCTTAAAACAGTAAAAAAGGAAGAGGGTATATTGTGAATGAAGGTAACAAATACGATGGATTATTGTTATAAACATTGAATATCATTGGGGGAATCGGGGAACGGGTGCAATTATATTGGGAGCTACAGGCCTGGACTGTCTTCTACTACTATGGATGGATACAATTTGTATGGCATTTTTTAATAATGAAGAATGTGTGAACTGTTTGTTTTGCATTCAACAATAGAAAATGGTTCTCCAATTTCAGTAATTTGAAATTCTCGCAGTTATAATTGATAAGCATAGTAGTACAATGTAAATGTACATTTCATTTGACTGTTGAAGGAAATAATGTTGAAGGAACTAGTTTGACAATGGAACAGGTGGTTGCTATCGGAAGAAGAAACAAGGAAATTGTTTATCCATCTATTTTATATTGCAATTATCGTTTCTTACGTTTGATATTTTAGATCTGCGAGCGGTGATTCACTATTAGTTGAGAATTGTGAAGCTAGATTTATCCTTGATATTTTTCGTGATTTATGAAAACAGTAGAGGATGTATATGGATACAAATATAGGAGGTTGCGAATTTCATTCATTCTTCTACAGAGGCAGAGAAAGAGATAAAGGGTGATAAGGAAATAAATATACCTTCCTAATAATTTTAATTTAAAATCATTTGAAGTATGATAGTGAGCATGGTAGTATTAAATTTTTGGAAATATGAAATATCCAATTATCAAATTTGTATTCTTTGTTTCAATATATTGGGTATTTTGGGTGGATGTTTATAATTTTTGCTTCAGGAAGTTGAAGAAAATTTCATTTGTAAATTTTTATAAGCTTGCTGCTGGGAAAACATGCTGTGAGATATGTCTAAACATATATGTACTGTTTAAACGTTAGCAGTTTTATTATATTTAAAAAACAAACATGTATATGATACTAACAAAATGTATTGAGTGCATTGAAGATACGCTTCAATCAGTGTAGTAGGTTCAACAAATTTCATCAATCTTCTAACAGGTAACAATTGCAAAGTGTGATGAGCAATGTAGTCGATTTTTTTCTTTTTTTTTTTTTTTAAATTCAGAATTATAAAATCTAATTAGTGTTCAGTGTAATTTTTTTTTACAGATTCATTACAGAAAAAATTTTCACACAATTTATTAATATATCTACATTCAAAATATTTGTAAATATATTAATCAATTACATATTTTACTATAAATTAATGGTATTCAGATCGAAACAAACGATTAAGTTGTCCTTTAAATTGTGAAAATTTTTGAAATGTTAGTTTGCTTAAACTTTAACCGTTACAATTGATGCAATATATTTATACTTTTATATTAGTAATTAAGAAGGAATTGAAAGTATGTAGAATATGGTAAAGGGTAAAATTATTGAAAAGTTCTTACCATCAAAAATTCAAAAAATAAGTAATTCAAGAATTAATTATAAATTTTAATTTTAATAAATATGGTGAGTGAATTAATGTTACTAGAAATAATAAATATTCGTGATGTTTAATCATATTTATTATGCTTTTTATTATGCTTTAGTAGTTCATTTGTTTTGTTAGAGACTATATTTTTTAAATATTCCATAATTCTCACGCAGGTTATATTGTGTGGCTATCTATGTCTTATATAATTTTAGTTGGAAGAAAGGCGGGATAATTAAGCTGCTAATTTTTCATTAGTTAGAATAGAAAGAAAAATATTTTTCAAATGAAATGAAAAATAATTCTAGCCTGCTTGACATTTTTCATAAATATACAAATGAGAAAGTAATAAAAATCTATACCAATTTAACATTTTGAAAATTTATGCATGACAATTGAAACTAATTTATAAATGTGAGTATTCATATTTTGCTTTGTGTTTTTGAAAAACTTGTCAAGTGCTGTAGGAATCCAACTACAAGTTTATTTCGATTACATGAAGAAAGAATTGAAAAAATTTACTGAAATATGAAATAAAATAACAAATGTGATATGTTATAAATTTCACAATTTTGTGGAATTTGATTTGCGTACAATTTCATGCACCATTGGATGGAAGTTTTTTTGCATTTTCTAATACAAAGAAGAATAGAATTATTTTATTTTGAACGAAGAAATGATTGAAATTGATTCAAAATTAATAACTTTATTACAACGTACAACAGTTTAAAATTTTGGGATATAAAGATATATAATTAATGCTGTGATGTAAGAAACTTATTGAAGTAGTAGAATTCCGATCGAAATTTTTTAACTTTAAACTAAAAAAGTAAGAATTGTTCCACAATTATATTTTATACCTTTCGAATTAAAATGAAAGATTGAATTAATTTTTTAATTTCAGATTTTGATATTAGCCTTCAAACAAATATTTCGGAATATACTTGGCAATATAATTAATAAAATAGCAATGTAATTAATAAAATACAAATTTTAACAATATAAAATTAACATAAAATTCAAAATTTTTTATGGCAAGATGCAAGTTGTAATAGTCATTCAAATTGCATGGAATAATGAGTTACATTTTTTTAAGTAAAAAATCGTTTAATGAATATTAATAAATAATAAAAACAAGCTGATTTTTAGAAAAGGATTGATATAAGAATGCAAGGATTATCTATTATTTGAACGTGGTAAAAGATAATTGGAGAGAAGCACAACAGAAGAAAAGGCAAATATATTGTAGAAGAAATGCTTTTAATGATTACAATAAATGGATAGAAAGAAAATAACTTTTTTCCAAAGTAAATATTTGGAAAATTGAAAACAATCATATTACAATGAATTGTTATATATGAAGTATTAGAATTTGATAAAATGTCGATGTTCAATTTTCGATGTTCCAAATTTGAAGAATATAGACATTGTGGGATTTAAAGGAATCAATCATTGGAATTAAAACGCAAGATTTTTTAAAAACTTTAAAAATGAAGATTACTAATATGGGATTTCGTATTATCCAGTGGAAACTACCAACATAGAAGAATTTCGTAAAATCTAGAGGAAAATAACTTTGTGGCATCCAATGGCCATCAACACGAAACTTAATGGGATCTGGAGGAGATTACCAACGCAGGGCTCCATGTTATTCAGTGAAGGCTATTAAGACTTCGTGGGATCTAAAGATTTAATAGGAGACTGTCTGGGACCTTGAGCAAGCCACCAACAGAACTTCATGAGATTCTTCAAGAGAGCTACTATCAACGTGCGATTTCATGCGATTCAGAAGAACGCTATTGTCTGTGGGACTTCTTAGAATTTAGAAGAGACAACTACCAACATGGAACTTCGTGGGATATAGAAGAGGTAACTACCAACCAATGTGAGACTGTGGGATTCAGAAGAGGGCTACTACCAACGTGGGATTCAGAAGAGGACTACTACCAACGTGGGATTCAGAAGAGGGTTACTACCAACGTAGGATTCAGAAGAGGGCTACTACCAACGTGGGATTCAGAAGAGGGCTACTACC